GAAAGTGAAAGAGCAAGCCATCAGGCCTGGGACTCAAACTGTGGTCAGCCCTGTGGGTGTTCAGTGCCCTTAACCACCATGCCACTGGCCGGCCCCTCTTACCTTCTTTTTTCTAATTACCAGAGAGTGCATGCTCACCAGAGAAAGAGTGACAGACAGACAGAAAGATGGAAAAAAGCAGCCACCAATGGAGCATGATTATGCCACACTCTCTTCTCCATTTCCATGTTTGAATTTGGAGCATGCATGCACACATACCTGCTATGTCTTACTTTTTAAAATTTTATTTAATTGATTAATTAATTATTATTATTATTATTATTTTTGTTCTTAGGGCATGTGCACTCATCAGAGAGAGAGACTGAAAGCAAGAAATTTTTCTTCAGGGGGATGGCCATGCTTCAATCCCTTCCTCTCCATTCTCTTCTTGGGATTTTGGATATGCACGCACAGGTTGGTTCCAACCTGCTGTGTCTTTCAAGTCACCACGGCTGGGATTCAAACCATGGTTGGCCATGTGGGATCTGGCTGCTTCAGCCAGCAGGCCAGGCAGCCCAGTTAACTTTTTCTTTTTTTTTTTATTAATTCACTTTACACCATCACAACACACAAATGAATTTTCCATCCAAAATACACTGTGCATTGGCTCAATCAAGCACATCCACATACATGTTCTCAGCAAATAATTTTCCAATTCTTACGTCCTGCATACCTTGCCCTTTGTCTTGCCATCCCTGATTCCCCATCCCCCACCCTCTGCTATGTCCCATCTTCCTCCCCCATTGTCCCTGGCATCCATGGTTGCCCTCCATACCTTCCTCCCCCCCCCATTCAATTGTTCTGCCAATGAACTTAATTAGTCTAAATAAATCCATTAGCTAGCACAGCTGACACAAACCTACACATGTATCCAAGTCTGACCCTAGGCATAAACCCCGGTGAGTAGAATCTTTCTTTCTTTCTTTCTTTCTTTCTTTCTTTCTTTCTTTCTTTCTTTCTTTCTTTCTTTCTTTCTTTCTTTCTTTCTTTCTTTCTT